TGTTGAGAATCTACCATCTGTACCCCAGAATGGGCCTTTTTATTGAAGATAAAGTATTAATATGTAGCCCTGGCTAGCCTGAAGGGTACTAAGCAGATCAGACTGGACTCTTCCCCCACCCTTATTGTGAGACAGGGTCTATGTAGCCCTAGCATGTGTCACTATGCCTGACTAACTCACTTAAGGTTTTTTTTTTTTTTTTTAAACTCAGTTGTGTATAAACACGCAAATGCATTTTCATGGGGTCAGAGCACAACTTGTGGGAGCAGGTTTTCCTTCCATCATATGGGTCCTGGGGACTGAGCTCAGGGCATCCATCAGTCTTAGCAAGCACCTGTACACACTGAGCCATCTCCACAGCTCAGAAAGTCACTCTTTGATGGACTTTGGGATTCTGAGCTGCAGAGGTACTCTTAGGTGCCCTGGTGTTTTCTTTGATCCCATACACCCTGTTTATCTAAGCACAGTCCCCTGTACATGTGGTGACAAACCTGCAGCCTCCCTGAATGTAGCCATTTTATTTATCTGTATCTGAGTTTCCTAAGCCCCCCCCCCCCAGTCCCTGGGTGGCCATGGCATTTCCCTTAAGGATCTCCAGGTATATTCTGGGTCTCAGCCCTCAGCCCTTCTTTCTACACTTGTCTATAGCCAACCATCTAGAGCCATGCAGTTCACACTGTTAACACAGGGCCTTCAAGAAATGGCCTCCATGTGTATTCCACCAAAGCAGCTTCCACACTGGCTCTCCACTTGTCCCAAATTTGTTCAACAGGGGAGAATCTTCAACAGGCTTTCCTGAATCATGTTCCCAGTTTTCCAAGATACAATTTCTTTTCCAGACCCAGATCTTTAACTCCAGGGAGAACACCCTCCACAACTTTGGAGGGATATGATAAGGTCTCTCATATCCCAGGCTGGCCTCAAATCTGCTATGTGGTCAAGGCTGATCTTGAGCTATCAGTCCTCCTCTCCCACCTTTCAATTATTTGGATTACAGGCATACTCTACCAGGCTTGTTTTTTGTGGCACGAAGGGATGGAGGTCAGAGATTATTGCATGCTAGACACTCTATCCAAAGAGACACATCCCCAGCCCACATGAAATTCTGTGTAAGATGGAAAGTTATACTTGCTTTCCTGTGCCCAAAGGAAAGTGAGTCCCATTCCATCCCATGGCTCAAATGTGGCCATGTCCAACCCAAGGGTAAGGGAAGAGGTATCTACCCATCAGGGCTCTGGGGGTTCCTCCATGAGGAAGAAACACGGGGCAGAAATAGGAGAGTCATGAGGGAGATAGATACACATCATACCTGGGCTGTCCATGGGCTCCCTCTTTGCTAGGTCAAGGCTGTGGCCTGGTCCTGGCTCATGGAGGGAAGAAACCTGGCACTTTATCCAGCTTTGGGATTCTGAGAATCACACACGATCACCCCTACAACCGTCACATCTCAACAATCCCACTTCATTTATTACCAAAATATCACAGAATTCCAGTCACTGGTAACATACAGTGTTTAACACAAACCTGACACCTGTAAAGGAACTGAGTATTTGGACAAACTGACTCATTTGGAATCACCAGTTAACGCCCCATACCTCCAAAATACGCTTTTGAAGAGCTTTGGAAACTGAATTAAAATGTCTACACAGCTATGAACAATTGTTTAATAAAACTTTTTTTCATGTTTCCATTACATGTAAATATATCAATTTGGCATCTCTATAAAAACTCTGAAAATGGTGCAAAAGTTTCATTCTCTTTGAGAAAGCCATTGACAAAAAATATTCACACGTCACTAAAATTTCGAAAAATGGTTCTTTCAAAGCTTCATTAATCTGAAATCTTCTGGATTATCAAAATCTAGGTTTGCTTCTTCTTCCTAAAACACTGAATGAAGAACATTTATTCACAAGGATTTGAAGGAGTGAGGGAAAGGCAAACTGGGAGAAGGAAAACAGTGAGGAATTTTGTCCCCTACCTTCTTGTTCTGGAAATTACTAAGTTTTAAAGGCTAGTTACATAAACATCCTCAAAAGAACACAATGGGATTCACTTTATTGTTGACTTTGGACAGCAGAGTCAGACTTTATTGAAAACAAACCCATGTAAAAACAAAGTTAAAATGAAAAAAAAAATGGTACCTGAAAAATAAATTATTTCATAGAAAACAAATCAATAACTTAAAACACACTAATATACAAAATGTCTAGCCATCTAGTGTACAACACGGGAATCAGCTGGTAGAAGCCCTTCCCACCCCCCAAAGCAAGCCACTGTGAGAGAAAACAGCATGTGGGAAGAGCGGTGGTCTCCACCAACAACCAGCCTTCTCTTCTGGGGGAGGGGAACAGAAAAGCACAGTCCTCTCCAAGTCTCCATCAGCCTAATGTGGATACTTGGCAGCTGGTGACTTACAAGTAATAAATAAATAAATAATAAATATTTTCATGACTGAGAAAAAGAAATTGAACCACATCAGCAAAAGGTTATGGGAAAATGTAATACAATCATTATTAAAGGTCAGAGGCAGGGGTGGGGGTGGGGAGTCCTTATCTGGGATGGAAATGCATGCTCTATTACTCCCCTAAGAATGTGTCAAATCATCAATGACACTCAACAGTAAGCGTTCATGACTTTGGGGTGTGCTAGGGAAGTTTGGAAACAGAATTCCTGACTCCTTGAGTGATAAACCCCAGGGGTTGCTCCTCAGAACCCAGTAGGCAGAAGGGGTAAGGAGCTGGGATGGAGAAGGCAGAGGCCCCTTTCAGCTTACTCTTTCATCCAACAGAGGAAAGCTGACTTCACAAAGCATCAAGAGATAAAATGGGGCTGAATCACACTAACTGGAAGAGCTGAGTTATTTCAACTTTTATTTCCAAATGCAACCCCAAACTCCATGGAGTAGGTCACATCCTCTCAATACGTTATGTTACTCACAAACGGCAAACTCAGACAGGTAAGTGCTACTGTCTTGGAGGTTCATCTATCCTCTGACCCAGCAGGATTCCCCTTAAATGCCAGCTAGGAGACTTGTCTTAGCTCCTTAGAGCCAGGAGGTTCAGTACCCAGTTGTGTAGGGTTCTTGAACTACTTACTGCCAAGTGCAGACTCTCAAAAGGTTAAGGCAACTGTGAGGGAGACTGAACCCACTCAGTACAGTAGCATCACCCCTCACCCCTGCCTCAGGGTGTCTAGTTCTGACAGTCAAGCAAGATGGTAGCTGAGCAGAGCAACTATGTATGGAGAGGAGAGAGATGGCAGTCACAGTACTGCAACCAGAGGCACAGCCAAGATGGCTTGGCACATTACCTAGAAAAGTTTCAACAGGGGAGAGAATCACTCCAGGAAGAAAACAGGTAACCCAACTAGAAGTAGGCTGAAGAATCTGGAGGTGGCTCAATGGATAACCCCCTGCCAGGGTCGATCATACAGGTCAAGAGAACTCAAAGTCTCTTTGGTATTGGCTGAACCATATTTCTGATGAATGAACATTACCTACTCTGTATTTTTTTTTTTCCTTGTCAGATTACCAAACAAAAGGAATGTCCTTATCCTGCTCAAAAAACAGAATGGATTTCTGTTAAAAAAGGAAAAAAGAAAAAAACAAACAAACAAACAAAAACAAAAACAGGAAAGAAAAGAAACAATATTAAGAAATAGTTCCTTGGGTTGTGACTTTTTCTCCAGTGCTTTAACCATATACATCTCTGGATTCTGGGATGTCCCCTTTCTAGCAAGCCTCTATAAGACGTTATGAACTTTGAGTGCAGGCCCATTACTTAGTTCCTCATAGAATAAAAACTGCTTCAGGAATGCCTTTTCAAAGCTAATTCCTTTTAGACATTGACAAAAAAGCTCATCAAGAAATAAATACATTGTGACTTTTAATCTAGGACGCTGTTCAAACAGTGGAGAGCACACAGAAAGAGAATTTCACTCAACTTGAGGTGACCTCCAGGAGCTGGTAAGATTTCCCTCTTTCCTCTCATGCTTCACATCAGAATGGTCACTATGGAGTAATCAGGCATGGGGGGAGGGGGACAGACTACGATGGTAGTGACTGAAGTGCTGGCGAGGAACACCAGGTGCTTTAAAGACACAGTCCCTTTCAGGATGGAACATTAGCTAAGGCGCAGAGTGAGGAGAAAGCAGGGAAGAGTCAGACTGGGAATCCCATCTTCACTCAGAAGAATGTTGGCCTGACAAACTGGAAACACCTATTTTACCAGAACATTCTGGTCCTGTCGGGAGGAGCACTCTGAAGTAGCAACACAGCAAGTGACCCCTTTCTTTTTTGGTCAGATCTGGGCAAATGGGCCTTTGGTTCTTTGTTTCAGGTTTTACAGGCTGGGAACTCTGGAAAGGAATGAGTAGCACTTAGCTTCCCTAGTGTGGGCCAAAGCCCTGGTACATGAAGCGACCTCATCAATGGTGGGAGCACACTGAAAGGAAGTCAGGGAAAAGAGGCAGGGGAAGGGGACAGGCAACCTCAAATTGTCCAAGGGTTTCTTGACACAATGACCTGCTTTAGAGATGGCTGTGTTTGTTGCTCAGTTTTCCACTTAAATAATGAAACAAAATAAATATCTAAATAAGTAAACAAATATATAAATAATGCTGTCATATCATGATATCAAGAACTAAGTGCTAGCCTGCTGTTACACACTCCAGCCAGGCTCACATCAAAGTGAAGAGCTGCCAGTAGCTGAGCTAGCCTGTTCTCATTCTTTCCACATGCTAATACAAATCACAGCATGGTCCTGAGGCTGCAGGTACCAGGCCTCACTTTTTCCCAAGGTCTTCCCTCTGACCTTCTCTACCAGCTCCCCAGTTAAGAACCATTGATCCACAACTGTGTGTCTACACCATAGATCCAGAAACGCTTTTAAACTTTGAGGCAAGTGTTTAAGGTATGACAGACTCCTCCCTGCATGCTGGGCTGTCTGTGCCTTCCCTAGCCAAAAAAGAAAGAAAAGGTAAAACAAAAAACAAAACAAAACTCGAGCAAAACAAAATCAAATTTAATGGTCTTAAATGCAAAAGTAAAAACAAACAAAAAACACAAAAAAGCAAAAGAAAATTAACAGAACAGAACCCCAAACGTCAAGGCAGTTATGAAGAGAACTTTGAGGGTTAATCCTTAAAACTACAAATCAAAGGTTTTTGTTAATAGATAACTGGCAAGAAGTACTTTTCTGCTGAGTGTCCATACAAAAGCAAAGTTTCAAAACAAAAATCTGACTAAGATTGGAAAAAGTCTAGTGCTCACAAGGAGGGATGCGAAAAATACAATGCTCAAATGTTTCTGTGTCATTAAAAACAGCTATCACTGTGCATTCAAGCTGGGTTAAATGGTCTTGGAAACTCGAGAGGTTGCATGAACAACAGTATCTGATGTGTGGCACCATGCATGCAATGTGTGGACAGACACTCAGGATGTCAGAGGAGTTGGACATCTTCAGGCATGCCCGGAGCTCAGGTCTGACTCTGGAATATACTGGAGCTGCCCTGAAACTCTTTGGTCCGTTCTCATTGGTGCCTGGGCTTATAAAACACCTTTGTGTCCTCTGGAGGGCCTGGTCCAGCCCAACATGTGGAACCCACCCCTCCCTGGTGAAGGCCCCACAGAGTACGGACTCTGCTGCTGCTCCCAACACCACAGAGCCAGGACTGAGTGTGAAGGAGGCAGCAGTGGGACCTGCTGGGAAGGGCAGATTTCCTGTCAACTAAAGCAGAAATTGCTTAAAATGGTGAAACAGTTGAGAAAACACATTCTCCATCTGTCTAACATTTTTAGGTTAAAAACTAAGAAGGAAAAAAAAAAAAAAAGATTTTTGTTTTGTTTTAAATCTGGTCTGTGGAGACATCCAATGAAATAGGTGTTAGACAGTCTTAGAAGTTAAAGCATGCTTCAGTTCCACCACCATCCAGAGGGACTGGTTAGTCAATGCAGTCTATTTAGGTTTCGGTTTAATATATACTTTAAAGGAAATAACTTAATAAACTTAAAATTGGTCTAACATTTGTGGGATTTCAAGCATTTGAACATGTTGGTTGCATCCCAGAGTATAAAAACCTTTTGCACTTCTCATTTAGACTAAGACAAACACTTGTGAAAATTGGCGCAAAATGAGTTGTACACTAACAAAAAAGTTTCAACTTCTTCACTCTTAATTATCTATTCCGTACAAAAAAAAGAAAAAAGAAAAGAAAAAAAGAAAAGCATGAGCGAGTTATTTGTGGGACTTGTTGGTTTTGAAGGAAACCTGTAAAATTTTGTCCCCCAGGCGGTAGCCATTCAGACTTGCTATGGCCATTGCAGCTTCTTCATAGTTTGTCATGGTCACAAAACCAAACCCTTTGCATTTGTTGGTGTTGAAATCACGAATCACTTTCACATTGGTGACTGCACCAAAGGGGCCAAACATCTGCCAGAGGATCCCCTCATCAGCGTCTTGCCCAAGGTTGTAGATGAAGATGCACCAGCCCGAGGAAGCATTGCCGGGGACATTGACACCAGAAATCCCACTCATGTGATCTACACCCATAGGGGAGAACCTAGCAAATAGAGAGCACATGTTCAGGTCAAGGTTAAGGCCGGTAGTGTACCTGCACAGGAGGAGTAAGAGGGAGGTTGGACAGGGCCAGGATGATGACACATTGGTTTAAGGGTACTGGGTCTCTTACTGATCTACACAGCCAGCTCCTCTAAGCTACTGATGCTTAAGGCTGGGTTACCATGTGAGTCAAATGACTTAAAGGGCACAGTGTTTACTGTGACATTTCTTCACATTAATTATCCTCCTGTCCCACCTTCCCTCAGACTGCCTACTTTCCAAATAGATAGCTCCTTGTTTCATGTATATTTTTTATCTGAATTTTTGCATGTAAGAGAAAACATACATATACTGTCTGCACCCTTGAAAGGAATCCAGTAAGACACTGGCTGGGGTCAGGACCTGAGCCTGAGGCACCCAGCTAGCGCCATCAGACAGCAGCAGTGCTTCTACTTCTGCTGTATGGGTGTAGCACATGTGGGGTCTACTTAGTTGTTTCTGTGGCTTTCCCCATTCTACTTTAGGCTTTGTGATGCTGGGGAAGGAACTGAAGGTGGGCACTGAGCCACAAGCCCAGCCCCATATTCCACAGTTGAAGTTCTGGAGTTTCCTCCACATGCCCCAGTGTAGGTGGCAGATCTTCAGGGGTCTTTCATCGTCACTTTCTTTGAGGGAAACTCTACATTCTCTGTGTGAGTATGTATACATTAATCCATGTACATTAATCCCTCAAGTTTAGTTCCCTCTCACCGTTTCCTTGTCTTTTGTTTTTCTACTGTTTTTCCTGTCAAGACAGGGCATCTCTGTGTAGCCCTGGCTGTCCTGGAATTCACTCCGAAGACCAGGATGGCCTTAACTCAAGAGAACTGCCTCTGCTGCCTGAGTGCTGGGATTAAAGGTGTGCACCATTACCTCTGGTTTTAGTCATTCCTCACTGTGACACTTCTGTCTGAGAAGTCAAAGCCCAGGATTTTCTGGAGAGAGTACAATGCTGCACAGAGCTAATACAGGCCACAATAATTGCTTTCTACTGGCTCTGAGCTGGCTCAAACCACTTCACAAGGGCCTATAAACTCAGTAGACAGGAACAAGGCTAGAGGAATATTAGCAACTTGACAACCACAGGGAATTTTCTCCACAGTGACACATTCACTACTATCCCCACTCTATCCTCATAGCTACTCACCATTCTTTCCTTCCTTGTCTCTCCATCATGCCCTCTGTTTTTCTATTTCTTACTCTCTAGCTCATTCTGGCTCAGTATTCATAGTCCCCGTGCCTCACCCTGAGTGCTAGGACAACAGATGTGTATACCAATGCTTGCCCACAGTGAACTGTTGAAAAGGTGGGTTAAAAAATGTGAATGTAGGGCTGGAGAGATGGCTCAGAGGTTAAGAGCACTGACAGCTCTTCCAGAGGTCCTGAGATCAATTCCTAGCAACCACATGGTGGCTCACAACCATCTGTAACAAGACCTGGCACCTTCTTCTGGCATGCAGGCATGCATGCCGGCAGATACTGTATACATAATGAATAAAAAGAAATAAATACATAAATAAATAAATAAAAAAATGTGAATGTAGTAGTAAAGATTAAGGATAACAACAAAAGCTCCGAGATAAGAATAATGGCCTTATTTTTAAGAATTTTTAAGACTGTTTGAGGACATAGCATCTGTGGAGTCGCACAGTATATAATTACTTGCTCCAAAATGATAACAGACTCTGGTATCATGCCATCAATACCATCAATATGGTAAAAGAAGGCTTCAGGGCTAGTTTCAATGTGGTGAGAAAGAATCAAGATGCAGTATTTGCTTGGTTTTAAAAATTGTATAATTGGTTTCAACAGGCAACAACATGATGTTGTAGTGGTTGATGGCCTTCTGTGGTCAGAGACAATCTTAGGAAGAAAGATTATGGTACTGTTGATGTGAACGGTAGGATGGTACTTGGGTGCCAGTGAGATACTAAGCTGAGCTAGTTTACAATGACAATTAGAAAGGCGCTGACTGTAGTTCTAAGTCACAGATTTTCACAGGGCAACTACAGTAGAACTACTATATCTACAGGTTCTCCATCTGTATTTCATTTTGTTGTTGTTAGTTTTTGGGACAGGGTCTCCCAATAAGTAGATTTAGCTGGCCTAGAACTCATTATATAGATCAGGCCTGCTTTAAACTACAGAGACCCACCTGTTCTGTCTTCTAAGTGTTGGGATTAAGTGCATGAACACACCCAGTTTTCTTTTCTTTTTTTAAGGAAGGGTCTAAGATAGCCCAAGCTGAACTCTGACTCTCTATGTAACTAAAGATAACCCTGGACTTCTTGTCCTCTTGCCTCCACCTTCCAAGTGCTAGAGTGACAGGTCTGCACTAACACACCTAGTTTATGTGGTGCTGGGAATGAAGCCCAGGGCTTCATACATACTAGGTAAGCACTTCCAACCAAATGATGTCTTCAGCAACCACATCTGCAATTCAACCAATTTGGATCAAGGAAGATATTTTGGGGGAAAGATTCTTCCCTGCAGACCTGGAGATGAGCTGAAGAGAGGATGTGTATGGGATCAATGCAACACCACGATATTTTATATGTTGGACTTCAGCATTGATGATTCTGGAATGTAAGATAGGGGTATGAGGGGATGTATTGGAACCAATCCTCTAATGAACACCAAAGAATGATTATATACTGAAAACATCTAGGGTACTATTTTACTGTCTTAAAAGATTTTCCTGCTTTAGCTTTCCCAGTGCTAGGATTTCAGGCATGCATCTCTAGTCTAACAAGAGTTTCATTTACAGGAACTGTTCTTGCTGGCTGGACTTCCAGAGCTGATTTTTTGGATACAGATAACCACAAATATCTATCTCCCTGATTCTCATTTCTTAGGAGATCACCCTCATAATCTCTGATGGAGAAAATCTTGTCCTGACCGCCTGTTCTTTGTCCTTTACTTATCTCTGCCACATTCCCAATTCCTTGCCTAACCCCCACTGTACTATTTCCTTCTGGCCTACAATATCTTTAGACACCTAAAATGGCCTGATTCTTTCTTCATGCCTCCCCAGCTTGTCTTTAAACCAGGAGCTAGAGGCAGGCCAGCTTTGGAACCAGAGTCTGATGAGGATTCTATATGGCTATATTGTGAAAATAACCTCCAAGACAGCCTGTGTAAAAGAGAGGCATCTACTCAGCCCCATTGCTTAAAACAAAGATGGGAAATCTACAGAGTAGAGCAGAAAAAGTCTGTATCCACCTAAGGCAAGCCCTTGCCATCTTGACAAAAATGGAAGAAAATGGCACCTAAATTCGGAGTTTCATTGCTCCTAAGGTAGTGACACCCTGATCCTAGTATCTGTGTCAGTGATCCTAGTTGGTTTTGTTCTAGCGGAGTCTGCAACTGACACCATTTTCAGTATGAAGACAAAAGGATTGAGGAAAGAAGCTCTTCTTTGGGTTAGGGTCTTTGAGCAGCAGACACCTAACATTCAGTTATAAATATGACCAAGCAACTTTTGATATAATATGGCAGAGTACTCAAACCCCAAGCTCCACCTCCAACACAGCATAAACTGTGTGTATGCAGGAGTGGCAGACCCATTTGCCAGCATTTGGGAGGCCATTCTTTCTTTTTTTTTTTTTTTCAAGTTTCTCTGTGTAGCCCTGGCAGTCCTCGAATTTACTCTGTAGATCAGGCTGGCCTTGAACTCAGAAATTTCCCTGGGGTTAAAGATGTGTACCGCCCATCCTGACTCTAGGACATTTTTTTTTTCTTTTTGGGTTTTCAAAATAGGGTTATACAGAAGTATAACAGCCCTAGCTATACTGGAACTTGCTGTGTAGATTAGGCTAGCTTCCAGAGTGCTGGGATTAAAGGCAAGCACCAACATTGCCCAGCTCCAGGCCACTTTTACCCATTAGCTACATAGGCCATCTTGGCCTAGATTAGACCCTGTTTAAAAGGGAAAGAAAAAAATAGATAAGGAAGTTGTATGATAAAGGCTTGCCTTAAAGTCACTGATCAAATATAGCCTTGCCTATGCACATGCTGACTGCCACCTTTTCTCACTCTCACAGATAAATAAGATTGTTTGATTTTTTTTTAAACATAGTTTTTTTTTCTTGTTTGTTTGTTTGTTTAGATTGATAGGGTTTCTCTGTGTAACAGCCCTTGCTGTCATGGAACTCACTTTGTAGATCAGGCTGGCCTCAAACTCATGCCTCTGTCTCCCAAGTGCTGGGATTAAAGGTGTGCGCTACCACTGCCAGCACATAATTCTAAAATATATGTATTTATCTATTTTTATGTGCATGGGTGCTTTGCCTGCATGTATATCTACACAATGTGTGTACCTGGTGCCCTGATGGACCAAAAGAGGGGATTGGATTTCCTGGTAGTACTGGAGTTACAGACAGTTGTGATGCAACACATGGGTGCTGGGAATTGAACCCACATCCTCTGAAGAGAGGCAGTGCTCCTAACTGTTGAGCCATCTCTCCAGGGCCATGATTTAAAATAAAACAAAAAACTCAGCACACCAAGGATTGAAGGATTGCAACTCCTACTGAACTATTGGAACCAAGCACTGGAGACTATCAGCAGCCAGTGGGGTCGGTGCCACCTTTCCAGCTCCGAAGACAGACAAAGCCTCAGCGGATGTATGGTTGGGCCCCTGCAGCCATGGGCTACTCTTGGACAAGACCCACTACAGTCTGGATATATCTGGGAAAAGAGAATCCATATTGTCTGTGTACATATAACACATCACAGCAACTATTTCATTGCACATAGACTGTATTAGGTGTTAAGAGTCATCCAGTCTATAGGAGGATATGTGTAGGTGATGCACAAAGATCTTCTAGGAGAGTAGAGCAACCTTGCATTCAGTGCCACTCTCTGACCATTGATATTGAGGGTCCACTGCAATATATTTTGCTTTCCAAGAAAGTTTTGCTTTGTGTCCCAAGGTAGCCTTTAATTCTTGATCCTTCTGCTTGTGTCTCTCCAGTGATAGAAAGTGCAGGTATGAGCCAACATGCCCAGTGCACAGACACACTTCTAATAGAGAGGTGAGGACAAAGCCAGGGAAGATATAACTCTGCTATGATCAGCCTAGTGTCCCCAGTATTTTTCTCCTCTGAGCAGCCCCCTCAACACAAGGCTATGTGTAGCTTGAAGGAGTATAGCAGGCTACAAATAGCCCACTAGAATGTCAACCTACAGACCCACCTGAATCTCTGTGCCTGGTGGTGCACAGGGCCTCCAAACCGCCTAGCAGGCGAGTGGTACAGCTGCGAGAGGAGAGCCATGTTTTTGTTCTGGTTGGGATTGGCTGCAAACTTCACTGTGATGGGCTCAGAGGAACCTGGGGGTTTATGACCATTGAAACTGGTAATTGCCTCTTCTGCTTCCGACCGTTTGTCAAACCGGATAAACGCAACCCCTCTGGACAAACCTTTTTAACAAACCAACAAAAATGGAGTTAGGGGGAAAATGTAAGGATAGAAAAATAAAACAAAATAGAGAAGCAAAAGTTAACTCTGTAGGCTGTGGTTCAAACTGGGCACCTACAAAATGAAATAAATAGAAATCAAACCCAAATATGCAAACAACTAAAGAAAACACTGACTAAATAGTATGAGATTAAAATTTCAGACTCTTTTGATTTGAAGCAATGACTCCCTGGGAGGAGGAAAGGGGTAAACTGTGCTTTGAAGAACATTTAGAAATGGGTGAGGGCTGCCAACACTAAGAGTCAGAAAGGTGTTAAGGGGCCTTTCTGAGTGACATCACTGAATTGGATTTCTGAATGTGGTATGGAAGAAAGGCTACCCCAAATTTACTATACATTCTCATTCATAAGACCAGCAAAGGCTAACCTGGATAGGGATGATCCTTCTCTAGGCAGACATTTTTAGTTTTGAGACAGGGCTGGCCTCAAACTCATGATGCTGCCTATGACCTTGAACTCCTACTAATCTTGCTTCTACCTGTTAAGTGCTTCAATTCCAGGTATGTGTCGTGTCACTAAACTTAGTTTACATGTGCTAGGGACTGAACTCAGATCCTTCTGCATGCCATGCAAGCATTCTACTTATGGCACTTTATTGCCAGTTTAGGCAAAGGTCCATAGACAACAGTTAAAGAGTAACAATGATGGCTTAGAGCTTTGGGTGACCTGTTAAGTGAGCATGCTATCAAATGTTCTCAAGTCTCCTCCCCAAACCAGTACTTTCCCTAATCACATCTTGAAGATCCCCAAATGCCATATGATTCATATATGAGCAAAGCAGCCAGGGACACTATGGATACTTTCTCCTGAGTTCAAAGGCAGCACTGCAAAGTCCAACAAAAGTTACCCCTACTTAAAATGCACAGCATGCACTGCCTTAGTGATTCCAGACCTAGGAAGATGCCATGTACTAGAAAGATTCTGGCACTTGAGCTCATTTATAAATCTTAAGTCTTTAAGAACACCTGCTGTCTGCATTTTACTCTTATAGAACAAAATTGACAGCCTGGTTGATCCTGGAAAGCTGAACACAGAACTAACTTTAAGCCAGTATGTTCAAAGTTGTGGTTAGTTGGAACAAGGTCACCTTTAGAGTGACTATCATTCTACTTCTTAGACCTGTATCCAAATTGAGGAAAAGCCCATGTCCAAGTGTAGTTTCTTAGGTTTTATGCAACTGCTTTCAAATAAAAACTACCTGGAAGAAAAAGGGGATGATGATTCATGTAGGAGATAAAAAAAATCCATGTCTGATGAATTCATACTTCTGAAGATAGCTCTGTCATTTGGGCTTTATTTTATTTTTAATTGAAAGGATTTCTTTCACACAATAGTTTATCATCATTTTCCCTCCCTGTTCTTCCAGATCCTCCCCTCCTTCCCATCTATAACTCTATGCCTTCTCTCTTTCATTTTAGAAAACAGGGAAATAAAAACTAACAAATCAGAAAAGAACAAACGTGTTATGAGACAAAAAAAGCTCCAAAAATACTAGAGTTAGTCTTCAGTGGGCATGGGGCCTGCCCTTAAGTGTGGTTTGTATACCCAATGAGACTCCATTAGAAAAAACAAATTTTCCTTCTGTGAGATGGCTTCTTAGTTAGGGATGGGAGGACCTGTGCAGGCCCTGAGTTCCCATGTGCCTCAGTCCTGCTGTGTCTGGAAGGCAGTGTGTCCTTGGAGTCTTCCATCCCCACTGGCTCTTACTGTGACTCCTCTTCAGATAATTTCCTGAATTAGGCTTTATTTTTGCTAGGACTAACAAAAGAGACTAAGAATTGGGACAATTTCCAGATGTGTGTACTAATCGAATTCACAATTTTGAATAAGGAAACAAAAATATTAAAAAATAAAAATTAGTTATAGGGATATCAATGTGAATATTAAAAAAAAAAACAAAAACATTTAAAGCTGGGTGTTGGTGGTACATGTCTTTAATTGCAGCACTCCAGAGGCAGAGGCAGAGGCAGAGGCAGGAGGATTTCTGTGAGTTTGGGGCCAGCCTGGTCTACAGAGCTAGTTCCAGGACAGGCTCCAAAGCAATACAGAGAAACCCTGCCTCAAAAACAAACAAACAATCAAAAACAAAAAAAAACCTCAAACCAAACCCCCCCAAAAAAACCCAAATATTTAAAATATTTATTTTTATTGTATATGTGTGATTGCCTTCCCTGTGTGTATGTATGTGTACCAGTTTGTGCCTGTGGAGGTCAAAAGCATCTGATAGCCTAGAACTGGAGTTATAGATGGCTACGAGCTGACATTAAGCCAAATTATGTACTTTCTTTTACAATTTGCTTTGCTCAGTTTTTATCACAGCAATAGAAAGGTAACTAAGACAATAGTGAAAAAATAAATTCACTTATTTACCATGTGTTTGTATGTGTCTGCCACAGTGAAGGTGCAGACGTCAGAGGATAACGTAAGGGTTCTCTTCTTCCACCATATTAGAGCCCATGAAATGTATTTGTTTATCAGACTTGGGGGGCAACTACCTTTACATACCAAGCCACTATACCATGCCAGCCCCAAATGCTACTCCATTAAGTACTTTATTTCTTCCTGTACTACTAGGGACAAGACCTAGTACCTTACTCATGGTATGCAGACTCTACCACAGGGCCATGATCCCACCCTTGGTTTCTGGACTTCAAATGCTTTTTATCTACAGAACTTAACACAAGTCTTCCCTTTCCATACCCTTCCTACCCTGGAAATGTTGAGCCTCATAAAGTCCTACCAAGAGTATATATAGTTTTTCTTTCCAGAAGCACTGGGAGAGCAAGTATCTCTTTAATTGGTTTCCTCTGTGGGAGGAGGGGCTAGGGAAGAGAGGGCAGTCCTACCATGTCCTTCTTGCTTAGAGTGTAGTGTCCTTTGCTAAACTGGCTGAGAACAGCAGTGAAGGCCAAGGGAAAAGAGTGATATCATCCTGTGTTCACAGCTAATTAGGGAGAGGGAGTGATAGTGTGGTATATGTCTTAGACAGGGGAAAGAGACAATATCTCTACAAACAGATGAGGGAGCTGCCTGGAGAAGCAACACTTTCTGCAAGATGGGCCTAACTATGTCAATGAAGCAGAGGGGAGCCTCTAGGAGGAATGGTATGTTCTTGGAGATGGGGCTCTGCTTCAGTTTCCCACACCCAGCACTGCTAGGCCACAAGTGACAAAGGAGCCATATGTGACCTAGAGAGGGGCTCAGGGAGAAAGCATCTGTGTTGCCTTCATCACACACTGGCCAGCAGCTCACTGCCTCTCAACAGGTACTTCAGGAACTACTGATAACTTTCAGGGCAAACTGGTGATGGAAGTTCCTGCTAAGTAAATATGATTTTTCAGTCTGTTGCCTATCCACAAGGAGCACAGTGGGGTGAAGTTGCTCAGAGTTTGTATTTACACAGCTTGGGGTCCAAGTCTATACCGAGATGGTCTGGGAGGGACCTGCCAAGTGGTGAGAATAGAAGAGACAGGAATTCACTGCTTTCTCTGGAGTGGAGCATCCCAATCATTAAGACTGAGGAAGCCCATCTGAAACAGTCAATGGTGTTGCTTCAGGTCACTACAAGGAGGGGTGATGGGAGCTGTCATTCTCTTATTGGTTAATGAATAAAGCACTGTTGGCCAATAGGAAAACAAGATAGGCAGGACTAGGAGACAAAGAGGAGAGAGGAAGTAGTAGGGGAGAGTTCCAAGATGGATGATGGAGAAAGAAGAAGGCCAGCTCCTCTCTTCGGTAAGAGGAGACCACATGGAAATACTTAGAGTAATAGAAATAGGTTAATAATTAAGACAGAGCTAGCTGATAAGAAACTAGTAACTGGCCAACAGAATTATATCAAATACAGCGTCTCTGTATGTTATTTGGGGCTGGTGCCAAGGCTCTGGGCCCAGGTCGGTGGGGGAAAAACATACTAGTACATACTGGCACCACAACATGGCTAATAAGAACTTCCACTTAAAACTAAGAAAAGCTAAAGAATTGGTTTTAGAAACAAAAGAACAGAAACAAGCGAGGCTTCTTCATAGCAGCATGTTTCTCAGTTGAACTCTGTTTTGCTAGAGAGACAAGCAGAGATTTGTGCAGCTCCTTTAAGGGAGGTTTCCTGACTCAGCATAAGCAGCAAAAAACTGCATGGCTTTTAAGAAGCGCTGCTAACAATTTATTGGTGTGTATGAGAGCTGGCACTGACAGTGACCACATCTCCAAGCTGGCAACATGCTGTTGGATGGCAGCGTAGACCAAGGCAGTGAGCACAGCTCTCAGTCCTGGCAGTAAAAGTACCCGCCACCATCTTGGATAGACCGCAGCTGATACAACTGTGGCTTTCGTGTAAGCAATGTTGTTGTTTACCAGATAAAAAACTCATGGCCAGAAAAAGATAAAGATTTACAGTAAAGACAGATTCACATTAATAAAAACCTCTAAAGGTTTACAGTGTGTTTTAAAATATACGTAGGCTTGGGAGAAAAAAAAGAAAAAGGAATAAAATGGTTTTAAAAAGACAGAGAGGAGCTGGGTGTGGTGGCACATGCCTTTAATTCCAGCACTCAGAGAGACAGAGAGGCAAGCAGATCTCTGTGATTTTAAAGTAAACCTGGTATGCAGAGTGAATTCCAGGACAGATAAGAGTTACACAGAGAAACCCTGTCTCAAAAAATGAAAAAAATAAAAGTAAAAGAAACAGAGTAATAAAAAAGCCATGTAAAGATGGAGAAAATCTGGATACTGTACGGTATTATATTGTCTTTGTATCATTTGACTGCTGAGGAAACAACAACTGTTAAAACAAATGCTGCTGGAACAATTCAATTTATATATTTTAAAAATGCTTTGACTCCAAAATTTAAGTTTAAGGACAAGTTACTGGGGAAAAGGATTTCTATTTTTGTTTCCATAGAAAACGAACAGCTGGGGATTCCTTCCAGACTAATGTGGTTTGATCAAGCCAGAAACCCTGAAACAGAGTACGAGGTGATCCAACATTCAAAACAGCTTGAACAAGGCAGCCTTGCAGTCTACAGCCAGGATTTCTGCATCTTCTTAGGATACCCAATGACAGCGCCCCCTACCAGCAGGAAGCAGTTTGGAAAGAACTACACCCAAATTCCCAAATATTGTCTATAAATGTTTGTTTTCATTTAAATGGACTTGATTATACATGGTTAATGATCACAACCAATTCTTCTAAAGGTAAAAAGGGAATTATGGTATAGATATGAATACTTTGTTTTGGAATGGATTTTCATTTATTGATACAATTTAAGGTGAATTTTGTGATATGTATTGTTTAGGTATTGTGTTTATATACCTCATTTACAAATGCAATGTATAATTTAGTACAGATTATAGTTACCTATGATAGTCAAAACTTAGAGTTAAGTTAGTTAGGTTTTCAAGATGTATTTCAAGATGTTTCAAAGACCTACAGAATATGGCATTTAAGATGGTTTAGGGTTTTTCTTAACAGTGAGGCACAACTGCTCCTGGCAACACTACCTGCATCAGAAAGGAAGATGGATCTTGAAGAACCTCGTTATGAAGTTTACTTTCAATATAGCAAGATTAGCCACTTAAACAAGATACTGCTCTTGTCTGGACTGTTTGACTTTATGCTGTATTAACTGAACATGCAGGACCCACAGGAAAGTGACTGCTGATAAAAGATAAACAGTGATGCAGGGTTCCTGCTTCATGGAAGAGTTTGCCAAACAGTCTGCAGGACACAGAGAAAAGTGACTGACAAACTGCCAACACAGGCAGACAGTTTAAAGTTTCCTAATTTGCTGAAGAGTCTGCCAGATACACTATGGTCTATGGGCTGAAGATGGAACATTACAGAAGAAGGTTGAGTGCCTGACCAGGGTAGTTGTCTCTGTCATTTCTAGAGTTTATATATTATCCTTCTGTGGTCTTTGAGGGAGGTGAAGACAAATAGTTATGGTTATAGTTTTCCTTAGTTAGGATTAAAGATAAATTACATATAAGACTTTAGACTCACAAAGATAGGATAGATGATGGAATATTTTCTTTACATCTTGCTAAATGTTAATGGACTAAATATTGCTAATTGTGATTCTTATTTGATAACTGTTGTGTGATATATTTTACGATGTTAAGGTTAAAACCCTTCTTTTTATTTTAGACAGAAAAGAGGAGATGATGGGAGATGTCATTCTGTAAATATGTTTCTCTTATTGGTTAATGAATAAAGCACTGTTGGCCAATAGGAAAGCAAGATAGGCAGGACTAGAAGAAAAGGAGGAAAGTGGAAGTAGTAGGGGGGAGTTCCAAGATGGAGGATGGAGCCAGGTCCTCTCTCCGGTAAGATGAGACCATGTGGAAATACTTAAGAGTAATAGAAATGGGTTAATAATTAAGACAGAGCTAGCTGATAAGAAACTAGTAACTGGCCAACAGAATTATATCAAATACAGAGTCTGTGTGTGTTATTTGAGGCTGGCCCTGCAGTGAGACCAGGCTGGTGGAAAACCTACTTGTAACAGAGGGATCTTGGGACTCTTAAGAGGAGACACATTGACACCATGTACCTGGGGTAAAAACTACAAGCGACAGGAGAACAGCAATCTTTCCAACTATTCCCAGGCCAGCAAAAGCTATTTGGGTGTATAGAGAAGGTACGAGAATTTTGATGTTTTTCCTACAAAATGCTAGTCTAATGCTGGGTGGCTTCGTTTCTTTCTCTCCTTCCTTTCTTTCATCTTTCCTTCCTTCCTTTCTTTTTTATTGAGAGAGGGTCTCACTATGTCATCCTGGCTGGTCTGGCATTTGCCAAATAAGCCAGGCAGATCATGAACTCTGATCCACTCACTTTTGTTTCCTAAGTTCTGGGATTAAAGGTGTGTACCATTTCCCCATCACCCATGATTCTTTTAATGCCATCTTACTCCCCTAGTCCAACCAAATGAAAACTGAGGTCTTCTCATGTCCAATCTGTCCCCCTTTGGAGGCTAATTATCGACATCTCCCTATCTTCCCTACAACACCTGGTTCTGGGCTCAGAGAAGCCTTTGTTGCCTATCTTAGCTCCTGTCTATACCTGTGGTCTGATCCACAAGGACCCTGGAGTTGATGATTCGCCCAAACCGAGAGAACATGTCCTCCACATCCTTCTGAGTCATGGTCCTCGGGAGCCCGCTGATGTACAAGTTGGCATCTTTGATGACCTCTGAGCTTGGGCGCGCATATGATACCTTAAAAATAAAACAAGTCAGAATTAGGACTGACATGTGGCCAAAGCATCACAGAAGGAGACCAAAATTTGGTGTTATAAAGCCAATGTTGTGGCAAGTAATTGCACACAAGACAATCTCTTGCAATGGTATTGTGCTGGAAGCTCACTACAGGCCAGCAGGGAACTCAAACTCCTTGTAGCCTTTTCTCAGTTGGTCCTCAGCATCTCTAACAAGCAGAAAATTATTCCTATTACATGAAGGCAAAGAAACAGTAGGTCTACCACGGTTGGGATTCAAGTTCATGCTGCCTGCTGAAAATAGGGCCTAGATCCCCAACTGCAAGGACCTTGTGGTATGGCAGAAAAAACTGAGAGTAACAACCCTTGCCAGCATGTAAGGCACTATAAAAGCCCAAATAAGAATGCTGCACAGAGGGGCCTGTGATCAGCATTCAAATGCTTGGTGTTAACATCTGTGGTAGGAGAAAGAAAGAAGGGAAGCCCCAAAGGCAACAGCAAGGAAAGGTTTTGGGTGCTTTCCCTAGTACAGGCACCAGAGGTAGTAGAGACCTCAAAGATCAGGGGCAGCCAAGGCATACTGGTGAAACAGTATAGTTAGCAGGAGGCCTTTCTGCCCGTAGAGAGGTGAACTAGCAAGAGGGAACCCAAAGCTGAGTCAGAAAGCTGGGTACAAAGTTGGGTGTGTGTATGCGTGAATCAAGTGCTCCAGAAATGGGGTGGGTGTGTGGTGGGTGGGAGAAGAACTGAGATCTGTGTACTGAAGGCACAAAACTGCTTAAACACGGCAAGGAGCTACCCACCTCATGGGTAATACCAGAACTACTAGGGATCTGGAGAGCACAGTCTGAGGTAATGGAGCTGTATAGAGTGAATTCTTCCCTATCTGTTCTTAGGCCTTGGGTACCAAGGTTCAACATGTAGAACAAGAGCTCTGTGGATACTCCATAATCTAAATCATAACCTAAAATCAAGGGTTAACACACACGTGACTGTTCTGCCTTGGTTCACAGCCTCCTTAGCTTCTCTATTCACAGAAGCCCAAAGTGTTCATGTCTAGCATCAACACCCTGAAGAATATTCATTCACTTATGCCTAAGGGTAAGTACCCACAACTAAGGGCCTCCAAAATTACAAAAGGCCTCAGTGAAAAACACTGTATTTTGGGCAGGATAGTTCAAAAAAGAAGATAGCCTCCCCACCACCAGGACTGCCAGCTCTTCTAGTCTTTCCCAGGATTAGGCTGGATCAGTGGGGAGCTGCCATCCAGGACCAGCCTACCTTGCTTAGGTTGCATATATAGTCATTTTCTCAGGGACACAGGCATTCCTAAACTGTGACTAAGTGGCATCAGTAGGGTAGAGCTCAGGATTAGCACTGTCTGTAGCTAAGGAAAATTCCAATGCTAATGTTGGACAGGATCACAGGAACTCTGCCCTTTCTCTTTAGGCACTGCCAAGTTCAAAGTCAATACTGAGTCCAATGGAGTTGCACTATGGCATCTGGCACTGCTAGGTGTGCATGGACCCTCTAAGTTCTCAAAGTTCTCATCAACACCTTTCCTTTAGTACCAATCCAGTGCTTTCCTATCTCTGAGTCCTGAAATACATATATCCCTTTGCCAAATTAAGAGTCACACGGTTAAGCACTAACCCTCAGGATCACAGAATGTGATCTGATTTGCATACAGACTTAGTTAAGACAAGGTCACACATGGGAGGCTGGGCCCTTAGTCTGATATAATAAAAGTGAAAATCTAGACTCAGGTACATAGAGGTACAATGTCATGCAAAGCCCTGGCAGGCTGTAGAGCTGCATCTGAACCAGATCAATACATCTCCTCAATATAGGAAATGGCTGTTGCCAGGCTGTCATAGAGAAAAGATGGTCAGGAACAGAGGAGCAGAACCCTTCACTCTGACCCCTGCAACCAGAATACAACATCAGGACCAATGAGGACACAAGGGACAATTTAGCCATGAAGAGCTGTGATCTGAGGCTGGTCAGATGTGCAAGCATTTAAAGCCTTCAAAAAAGACCTGCCTGAAGGGGCAGAAGTAAGGTTTTAACTTTAGGGACAGAATATGCCTGGCTTCTGGGTCTTTTACAGTACATCTGCTCTTGCTTGGTGTCCCATCCATGAATGACACACCTTGCACCTGTAGGTCCTGAGTCCGAATATCTTTGTACCCCATTCTGGCCTGGTTAAGGCTTTTCCTCCAGATCAACACTCTTATAGTAGGAGTCTGCTAATACAGGCTCCTTCAGTCCAAAATGGGATGTCATATGGGATTTTAGGTTGATGTTAGAATACATCATAGCATTTGGGACAGGCCACAGAAGTCCAAGCATTGGCACAACAGTTCTGATTCTTCAATATACTTCTATAATAATTTGTCTGGCCTTTATCCTGGGTTTGTGGGAAACCTCTAAAACTAAGTGGTTTTTCAGAAGCCTATGGCTTACATCTAGATTTATGCTAAAAGATGGGTCAGGATGAAGGTCAAGGCATGGAAAGATCATGTTAGTGGCTACAAAGTTGGGGCCTTGAGTCATGAAGTACTGCGACATCCCTGTGTGCTGGGATAGGTGGAGGGGGAATAAATGATGCTTATAATGTTATATAATAATAACTAAGCCAGCTACACATATAGAATAAAACTTCCATAGGAACTCAAGACATTGTTGAACAATGGAATAGCTTTCATGGTCAACACATTGCTGTGGGAAAAAAAAATTCACCTTGACTCTGGGGTAGGAACATGAATGCTCTATGTACTACGTTTCTCTACTCAGTGGGTCCTGACTTTAGGAATAACATAACAGGAACCATAAATTCCGGGGGACTATTTTAGTGGCTAATCTGAAGGGGGCCCCAAAATTTTAGCTAGCTGGGTTAGTACTGCAGGTGTGGCTGGAAACAAAGAATTGCTTCTGGCATGAAGGAAGGACAGCCTAATTGGGAACAGTGCTCTTAAATTTGTATGGGTGGGTGTGCTGAACCTGGATGGCTGTTGTCAGAATTGTGAGACATCAGCTGGTATCATGCTGTGTGTGAGATGAACCCACAACTGTAATGACCTTTGTCATACTGCATGAACTATCATCCTGAACTCATAAGGGCAGCAGGGCAGGAAATAGAAGTCACCCAGATCTTGGTCCCTGGCAGCTAGTCCTGCCTAGGGGTTCAGAAGAGGTTTGGTTGGTGAAGCAGTATCCTCTGAAGGAGTCTGGCAGTACAGTCTCAAGGGAGACAAAGGAGAAATGAAGGCTGAGGGCCATCATGTCTGTCTACAAGGGGACAAGGGATGCCATGGGCGGGGGGGGGGGGGGAGAGTGAGAACTGACTCAGTATATACTCCCTTCCTACAGCTTTTTATAGTCAGGCTGAAAAGGCTACCAGCCACTCTGGGATAGTTTACTAAAGTATACATGAACTCCCCAAGATGCTCTAGAAGCACTAGACTTCAGAATGACTCCTGTTTAGCACAGAAATGGATGAGGTAGGATCCTATCTCTTTACCTTAATGGTTTTGGACTGGAGTCTCAAGCCGTTCAGCGTGCTGATTGCTCTCTCTGCATCCTTTGCAGTCACATAGTTCACAAAACCGTAACCCAAGCTGTGTCCTGTGGAGAGAACATGACATTGGTAAACTAAGTGCCAATGAGCAGTGAAAGGGAGGTACAAGAGCAAGGTCAGAAAAAGAGAAGACAATGTAACAGAGCAAAATTCCAAGGTAGGTACTCTGGGGAACTACTGTTGAGATGATGGCAAACTTTTCCATCTTTGCAACTAACAAAGGTAACCTGTAATTAAAACTTACTTAAAAACTGAGCTGGTGAGAAGGCTCAGCCAGTAAAGGGTTTGCTGCCAAGCCAGATGACCTGGGTTCAATCCCTGAAACTTATACGGTAGAACTGAATTAAAATATCCTGACCTCCAAATGTGAGCTACAGTGCATGAGCATATACAGATAAACTGTTTCTTACAAAAAAAAAAAAAAAAAAAAAAAAAAAGAATAATGTGTTAGCAATTGCATCCTGTGAACTGTTGTTGCCCAGCAGACCCAAAGACACTGGCTGCATTATGGGCCTGACAGATGAACAGGTGACAGCCAGTGGCCAGAGCCTATTGATTTTCTGAAACCTGAATTGCCAGAGTGGAAAGGCCTACTAGGCTCTGGCACCATCTAGTACTGGTTTCCTTTCTTTTCTGAGTCTGGGGAAACTGGACCCAGTTGACAAACTAAACTGAGAGAATCCTAAGCCTACCAAAGGGCCCTGACCACAGGCACACAGCCCTGGTCAAACTCCCCCAGGTTCTCCTGGCAAAAGAATCCACTACAACAATGCCATCAACACAAATTCAGAGATGAGTGGTAAGCAAGGAAGCTAAAGTAACATCAAAGGATCCCAATGTCCTCTTTGTGAAATATTTAGGACAGGCAGGAGTACCTACCTGTCTACTGGGGAGGGACGTGGCACATAGGGAGAGGCCCAGGCTGATGAAGCAACTGTAGCACTAGTCAGGAAAGAGCCTTAGAGGATGTCTAGCCATGACCTCTTACTGATGGAGATCGGAACTTGACTCATATCCTGCCAACTTAAGCAGGTACTTAACTTCATTCTGTTCTGGGTACTTGAGAAAGCTGTTAAGACAAGCCCATTGGATGCAGAGACCTCTGTGTTGTGAATCTGCTGCAATTAGAACTCAGGAAGCCATCCCCTTTGCTAATAATAAGACATGAACTAAACAGACAACCTAATGTACGCTTACTGTTTTTATTTTTATTGGCACTTTCCAATACTCAATTTTAGAAATTATTTTACCATATTCATGTGCACCCATATCAATCAAATATTTGGAAAACAACCACATTTCAAGAATCAGTTCTTTTCTTCCACAATGTTGGTCCTAGGCACAGAATTTAGTTTGTCATGGGTGATGGCAAGTATTTTTACCTGCTGAGCCTACCAACCCACCCTCCTCAGATCCTGAACTTTTTAATGCTAATTTAAAATTTATAGAAAAGCTACACAAATTAATAAGAGTTCCCAGTTCACGCTTAGCCTCCATCAGAACTACCTTCCATTACTATGGCATATTTTGTATAGTAAGTGAACCAATACTTGTTCAATGTTAAATAAATAATCATACTTGATTCCCATGCCCTCAGTTTTCAATGAGCCCCCTCACTCCCCTTTTTTAAGTTAAGAATTAACTCATATATGGAGCTGGAAATGGCTCAGTGGTTAAGCACACTGGTTGCTTATCTAGAGAACCTGAGCTCAATCCCCAGCACCCACATGGCAGCTCACAACAGTCTGCAATGTAACTCCAGTTCCAGGGCATCTGACACCTTCACACAGACATAGAAGCAGGCAAAAAAACAAACAAACCAAACTAAAAATGTGTTTTGCCAAATCGCCTCCATCTCCACCCCTTTCCCCTTTCCCACCTATCTATACATGCTCAATTAAAAATAAACAAAACCACTAAGTCCACTTAATGCTGCATGAGTGAAGGTACATCTGTTGGAGCAGGGTAGCCCGTCATCAGGAGTTGCACCCCAAAGGAAATTTACTTTCCTTCCCCTAGCAATAACCAACTGCTACTAATTTCTTAGCTAGGGGTAGGGCTTTATGAGCCCCTCCTGATATACCCCATCCATGCTGGGATCCAGACTGCTTTGATCTTGTGCATGTCTTGTGCACTCAGCCATAGCCATTTTGAGTTAACTGTACAACAGCAGCACAAACACAGTATGAGTAACAGACCACTTTCTGTTTGGATTTACACATCTTTGTGAACCCATGTGGCTATGTCCTAGACCTCAGGGGAGTTTTTTAACTGTTCCCTCTTGCTTAAGACAATCCTTACAAATCTCATCCAACATGAAATTGAGCTACTGCCTACATGGAACCTTCACCCCTACTGATGGAGGCCAAACTTAAGCGGCCTTAACAGGAACCCAGCCTTTTACCAACACCTATGAGGTAGGTAGAGTGAGGACTTAAGGCAACTGCCCACTGAATAACTTAGTGAGAGAGCACGAGGCTTTCAGGCACCTTGCTCCTGATTCCAGAATTCACTTGCGCATGAAGGTCTACATCCACAGAGACAGACTTGTCAGTGCTGCGCCTAGCAGTGTCCCTTCTTCATGAGAGAACTTGATCAACTTGTGCATAATTACTTGGCTCCATACATTTTCAGAGCATTCAATTTCTGCTGTTACCCCATTTTTCTCCTTTCATGTCTTATTTTGTACCTGTGGTTTTTGTTGTTGTATTGAGTGAGGGTCTCTCTACCTGGTACTGTTTGTCCAGGAACTCAAAGAGATCCACCTGCCTGTCTCGTGAGTTCTGGAATTAAAGGCATGCACCACCACACTGGCATGTACTCTATCTTACAAAAAAAACCCCAAGCTCTTTCTTGGGAACCTTACCTTCAGATTTTTTTCAAGATGTATCACCCCCCACCACCACCACCACAGTGTTTCTCTGTGCAGCTTTGTAGAACAGGCTGGCCTCCAACTCTAGAGATCCCCCTGCCTCTGCCTCTGGAGTGATGGGATTAAGGGCATGTGGCGCCACCACTGCCTGGCTGATGTATTTCATTTTCAATTATGGAATTTGTGTGTGGGGGGCGGTGGAGGTGTTATGTGCACTTGAGTATGTGCCTGTGGAGGTCAGCAGAGAGCATCAACCTCCTTAGAGCTGGAGTTACTTACACAGTGAGCCACCTGATGGGGGTGTAGGAACTAGATTCTGCTTCTCTGCAAGAGTGTCAGTAGCTCTTATCTGCTGAACCATCTCTCTAGGATACCCCCACTCCCTCCCACTCCTGTCCAATCTTATACTGGGGCTGTAGAAAAGCAGTCTGAAGTAAAAGAACAAAACTTCACAGCTATGGTTTCTAGCCTGCAGCTCCTGCAGCTATTCTGTACTAAGGAAGTCACCAGCAGGGCAGACAGTACTTAACAGGATAGCAATCATGAACCCTCCCAGAAACCTCATAGGCTCTTTACCTGCTACTTTATCCCGAATAAGTTTTGCAGATTCAACCTCGCCAATGCTGCTGAACAGACTTCGTAGTTCCTCTTGGGTCATATTCTGAGGGAGGTAGTTGACAATTAAATTCGTTCTCCCAATGTCATCCCTGCAGTCTTCGGCCATGTGGTCTTCATAACCATTAGACATTGTATTATTTAAAAATCTGCAAAGAAAAACAAGAGCAGATAAATTCTAAATGTGAAGGCAAAGATAAATGACTACATTTGCACTTAAGGGATTTTCTTTTCTGCACTAAAAGATCAACTGCTGGGGAGATGGTTCAATTTGTAAAGAGCCCACTGGCACAAAAACTGAGATTTGAGTTCCTATCCCCAGCACCCATGTAAAAGTTGGATGAGGCCGAGCATTGGTGGCGCTCGCCTTTAATCCCAGCACTAGGGAGGCAGAGGCAGGCAGATCTCTATGAGTTTGAGGCCAGCCTGGTCTACAGAGTGAGTTCCAGGACAGGCTCCAAAGCTACACAGAAAAATCCTGTCTTGAAAAACAAAAACAAAACAAACAAAAAAGTTGGATGAGTTGGAACATGCCTTTAGCCTCATTTCAGGGAGCTAGGGACATGACAGAGGGACCTTTGGAACTCTCTGGCCAGTCTAGCCAAATCAATGAGCTTCAGGTTCAGTGAGAGACCCTGTCTCAAAAGATAAGGTGAACAGTGTATGGTGGACATACATCTCACCACAGCCAGTATATCCCACACTGACCTTGTTCTGTGTCTTACAGCATTGCCATTTACAGAGTAGCTCTACTACTTAGTAACACCCAGGTCTCAGAGAATGAGGACAAGGAATATTTTTCACAGGCTCAAGTATTTTGAATACTTGGTTCCCAGATGGTGGCACTGTTTGGGGGAGGTTGTGGAACCTTTAGGAGGTGAAGCTTTGCTGGAAGAAGCCACTGGGGGTGGGCTTTGAGTTTAGTTTTACCCCACATCCACTTTGCTTTCTGTGCTTCCTTAGTGTGGATGGAGATGTGATTTCACACCTTACTTCCCTGGCTGCCTGCTGCCACATCTCCTTCACCATTACACTCTCCCTCTGGAACTGTAAGCTCATATAAATCTCCTTCTGTAAGCTGTCTCTGGTCATTTAATACATTTAATACAATGTGATAGAAGAAGTCACTTAATAATGACCTCTGGCCCCCACATAATTTGTAACCCTATACGTGTTAAGTACTTCCATGAACAAACATTCTCACATATACATACATACATACATCAACTGCAACAAATGTATCCAACTGCCAGATGTGGATGACATGGAAAAGGTTGTTGGGGAAGGATATAAAAGAACAAGCCTATTATTTTTTGAAAATTTACCTTTATATTATGTGTGTGTTTTGTCTGCTTATAAATAAGTGCACTTGGGGTACCTGGTGTCTGTGGAAGTCAGGAGAGGGCGTTAGGACCTCTGAAACTGGAGTTATTGATGGTTGTAAACTACCACATGGGTGCTGGGAATCAAAACCTGGGTTCTCTAGAACTGCTGAGCTATCTCTCTAGCCATTCACTTCTTTTATTTTGTGTGTGCATGTATGCATATGAGTGCAAGAGCATAGAGGTCAGAAGACAATCAGTAGAAGTCAGTTTTCCCCTTCCTTTGAACTCAGGTCATCCATCAGACTTAACTACCATGCCATCTAAACAGCTTCTCATTAGCTTTATAACCTTTTTGTAAAACCACAACTACTCTATAAAATAATTACACTAACACAAAACACCAATTCCAATTGTGTTCACCAACAGTGCCTTTTCTTTTTTTTAAATGCAGTCTCACTTTTAAGCCAGGCTGGCCTGGAATGAATACACTATGCAGTTCAGGGTGGCCTCAAACATGATACTCCTGCTTTAGCTTCCCAGGTACTTGAATTACAGGTGTGAGCTGTCACATTTGGATAAGAGGATTGTGTGTGTGTGTGTGTGTGTGTGTGTGTGTGTGTGTGTGTGTGTGTGTGTGTGTGTGTGGTCTCACATAGCTGAAGACAGCCTGCAGCTCACTATGTAGTAGATACTAGACTACTGATCCTCCCTCCTCTTTTCCAAGTGCCATGATTACAGGTATGTGCCACCTGGTCTGGCTCAGTAAGAGGACCTTTGAGGAGGCCTGGGGATGCAGCTCATTAACAGAATATGCACAAAATCTTGGGTTCTATCCCCAGTGAGTGACCATGCCTATCCACCAACATGGCTTTAAAGAACCCTATAAAGAGACCCAAATGTTGGCAAGCGAATATCTGTGGGGTAGAGGCCAGCCTTGTCTACAGAGTGAGTTCCAGGAACAGCTAGAGCTGTTACACAGAGAAACCCTGTCTCTCCACACCTCCCCCTTAAAAAACAAAACAAAACAAAAACAACCTCCCCCAAAACCAACCCTAGATGTCATCCCAGTACAACAGTTCAAGCTCCCAAGAGAAAAAAGTTTGTGTGTATCAAGAGCTTTCCAACTCCTGGTTTTTTCTGTCCCCACTGTGGACTACAGCTGGATACCAAGGAGCCTATGATGTGTCCCCTCATGCAACTTTGACATCTGCCTGTTACATGTGCCCCTTCTATCTTGAACAACACAGCATTGGAGCCAGAGATTAGGATTTCTGAGAGAGAGAGAGAGAGAGAGAGAGAGAGAGAGAGAGAGAGAGAGAGAGAGAGAATATGTGTGCGTGTGTGCATGCACAGTTGCAGTGTCTAGAAAATTTATTTTCAGAAGTAAACAACCCAGGATAGCTTGGGAGCAACATCTGTATAGAAGCAGCGGAGAGTACCAAGATCACTTCTTTGAAAACACAGCTCACACATGGTTTGCTCACAGACATTGTGGTGCAGTGGCCTAATATAGGAGGCCCTTCAACCTGCTTCTAAATTCACAGCCATCACTTTACATATATTCACCTGTCTGGAGGTCTCAGTGGTGGGCAGTCCACCCCTTCCTCCAGATGTACAGCTCTACATTAGTTTGAAAATCCAAGGTATAATAAGCCTTTGATTATCTTTAAAAACAGCTCTGCAGAGGTGGGTGTGGGCACACACCTGTAATTCTAGTACTCAAGCAATGGAGGCAAGAGGATGAGTTTAAGGCTAGCTACTCTTGGCTATGTAGCAAGTTCAAGGCCAGTCTGGGTTATATTTAACTCTATTTCAAAAGAAAACAAAAACAAAGAAAACTTTTCAGTGCTAAGTAGCAGAGAACTTGCCTAGTATGAAGGAAGAAGACACTAGGTTCTATGTCTAACACCTTAAAAAAGGAGGGCTGGGGGCTTTGCCAGAGACTACATAAAACTGAACACAACTCTGGTACTGACATTTTTCTCTTACTCTTGTTAACACTGAGAGAAGGGGAATTAATTAGGCCTGTTTTCTAGAAGTGTTCAGGTTCCTACTCTACTAACTCTCAAACATGTAAACAATAAAATTTCCCAGTGTTTGTCACTTACGTAAAGCTGTGCAGGTTCCTTCCTCTCTATAAAGTGTGTTAACAGCAAAAGAGAGAATCCTAGCAAACCAGCTATCATAAAGTTAAAAAGCTTTATGGCAACCAGAAACAAAGACAAGCAGCAAGAGACTGGGAGAAAAACAGCTGTTCTGTATCATTTTGATCAGTGGTTGTCATACTGGGAAATTCACCCATCAGGGGACAGGATGTGATGATGTGTGGAGGCATTGTATGTGCCCACACACTATCAGTGTCTACTGAGCAGATTCCAGGATGCTGTTAATTCAATATTCTGTAAGGCATAGGATGATGCCAACAATCAAGAAGCACCTTGCCTAAAATGCCAACATTTCCAAGGTTGAGTAAGTTGATTCAATGCCATCTACAAATTAATAATTAAAATCTAACATATTAGCAACAGAAAGGCAGACAATGATTTAAACTACAACTTCATGATGACAGCCATTCAAAGATGACAAACTCTGACATCATGCAAGCAGGTACAGTGGCACACTGCTATTGTCCTAGCACTTGGGAGATAGAAGCATAACCATGCTCAGTTTGGAATCATATATGGCAGTGGTCTGCAACGTTCCTAATGCTGTGATCTTATAATAGTTCCTCATGTGGTGACCACCAACCATAAAATTATTTTCATTGCTACTATTATAAATTATAAATATCTGATATGCAATCCCTGTTAAAGTGTCATTTGTTCCCCAAAGGTTGAGAACCACTGATCTAGGTATATGAGATCTAGCCCCCAAAGCAAGAGGAAATGATAGACTATTTTTACTGGTCATATAGGATAGATTAAAATTCTGTACATAGGGAGAAGAGACTGACATGTACACAAGACAGCAACACTTTTTTGGAGGAGTTTGGAACCCCTACCAACCCCAAGACTTGGACCATAGGTATCTGTTCTATGATAACAATCACACAGACAGGGGTTAGTAATCTGAAGAAACAGATTGTAAAAAGCTGACATTTACATGTATATAAATAGAAGATGGCTCAGTATCAATTTTCAGTAGAAAGCATTCAAGTTTAACCATGAAAAACTATGGCCATTCTGTTAAACTGTCTATAGTCATGAAAGTCCCGCCCAAACAGGGTTTCTCTGTAGCTTTGGAATCTGCCCTGGAACTTGATCTGTAGACCAGGCTGACCTTGAACTTACAGAGATCCATCTGCCTCTGCCTCCAAAGTACTAGAATTAAAGGTGAGCCCTGCCACCACCCAGCTGGTCATCAGAGTTTTAAATAAATCATTAGCTCAAAAACAAAAGCATCTGCTGAAGATGAGGGCACAGAGGTTAATGTTAAAAATTAGTTTTGGCCCAGTGGTGACACATTCCTCTAATCCAGGGAGGCAGAAGCAGGTGGATCTCTGAGTTCGAGGCCAGCCTGGTCTATAGAGCTAGTTCCAAGACAGGCAGAGCTACACAGAGAAATCCTATGTTAAAAAACAAAACAAAAATTAATATGCATGCTCAAGTTTGCTGAAGACGAGATTGGAAACATCTCCTTTCCTTCCAGTTTATTTCCTTTTGCCTTTTTCTTTCTCTTTCCTCCCCTCCGTCCTTTCATGGTGCTGGGGATTGAATATATATTGCCAGTGCTTTACCAATGAGTTACATTCTGAGCTTTTCTTCTCTCCACCCCTTCTCTAAGACCTGTGCACCTACAATTCTCTGTTCATTCTTTTATAGCTA